TGTATCCAAAAAGAAGTTTTATCCAACAGTAGATTTACCAATTTTTTCTCTATTACTCTATTCCAGAGCTTCTACAGATAGTGGTATCTATCTTCAACACAATTCAATTTGCATTATGAGATAAGGGTTTCAAGGCCTATATTTTAATATATTTTAACAACAACAGAAACATCCAATAACAGGAGCATTCTATTGCTCAAAGACAAACACTATTTTATTGCGTTAGTATGTAAAACGTTAGGTGTGACTAAATCACTTCAAAGCGTGCCTAATATATATATATGTCTCAGGGATAGCTAGAAACCAGTTCAGACTTTTAAATTAAAGCTTAGCCTTTATTATGATATTGCAGTCAGTTGTTATACCAGATTACTGTGAAAGTAGATGTAGCAATGTGAAAGTAGATGTAACTAAGAAGCTCTTGATTTTAAGCTGCACTGGTTTCAAACCTTAAGCCTTGTAATAACCAAAATGCTTTAATAGAGTTTCTTATTTTCACGATTGATGATGCTATGCTACATCATCGTGGCTTGTTTCTAAAAACAAAACAAAACAAAAATAATAAAATACACCTCTTATTCATAGGAACAATGAGTAAATTCTTGTTTCAGTAACTCTCCTTGTAAAAAGCAAGGCCAATTCTCCTACACAGGCCATAAACTTTTACATGGTCCAGCTGCACATACCTGGGGCTTTGGCACAAATTTTTATTGATCCCATGGTCCCAGAGGCACATTTGACCAATGATGTGCTGCAGTACTTCAATTCAACATTCTGGATTGAGCCCTCAAGAGTTGGCAGGGGATTCTTAGATTTCACACCTAATAAAAGAAAACTGCAAATGTACTAGCCTGCTGAATTTAAATATTTTTTATTTTCTTTCACCGAACCATTTAAATTTAATTATACTTTAATTATCCTCTTTAGATAGTCTTACGATATATTTGTTGTGATACTGATCTTTTATACTCTGGAATTAATCTCTTTATAGGAATATTTTAATAGATAAGTAAACAGTATCTGTGCAAATCTGCTCTCCGCAAATGAAGATAAACGTGAAAACACAAAGTGAAACATTACACATATATTCAACTTTGCTTTTATTTTACACTCCAGACATGGTATGCTTCTCTTACATGTCATCCTGTAATTTTAGCATGTTAAAATGAGCAAAACAAAGTTCTTATGTTACGCTTAAAAACTATTCAATTCAGTAGCAAAATAAAAATCCAATATATACAGCTGAGTTGCACAGCAGGTAACTGCACTTGCCATCTTTTTATAGAAACCAAAGTCCAAATTTTGCCTTAGGTCAAAAGTGGAAATAGGTTTGGTGGTCTCTTCTCTGCCTCCATTTGTACGCCTTAAAAAGGAAGCTACCCCACAGTTTGGCACAACTCTGCATTCGTTGGCAGCCTTTTCTGAAGAGGGACCTAGAACTGTAACAGTGGGGGATGTAACAGGTCAGGAACGCAGAGCTTTGGCACAGTTGCACAGGAAAGCTCATTGAACACCCACCCACATTTCACTTGGCTGTACTACCACTGTAAAAATTATTTGGTGCACCTGTAAGAAAAAGTAGATGCAATAGAGACAGATTTGACTCAACTTTCAGCTCCCCCCCCCCGCCCTGCCTTACATATACAGAATTCAAAACACAATTTAATCAAGCTTGAAACTGAGCTTTCTGCATTGCATTTGTGCTAGGAGATGCTTCAGTAATCTTTGGGATGAAAGCTCCTTCTACAAAAGAAAGCAAGACCATCATATATTCTAATAGCCAACAGAGGGCGCCGTGCGGATCCTTAGTCTGAGGAAAAGGCAGCTCCGTGGGCCTGAGAACCTGCTTCTATTTGCTTAGTACACTTCCTGTATTTGCACAAAAATCGAAAAAGTAAGGAAATCTCTCCAGGGATGGCTGAATTCCCCAAAAAAGCTTTTGAAATGGCCTCTGCAGCAGGGATCTAACTCCAGGCATCAACTGTGAGAGAGAGGTTAGAACGTTCGGGGGGGGGAGGGCCCTTTCAAGGCCTCTGTTGGCCTTTCAGGGAGGGAGGGAGCCTTGGGGCCTGGCCTGGGGAGTCCCTAGAGGTTTTGAGGTGGGATTGGGGAAGGGAGAGGTCTCAGCTGGGTATAATGCCACAGAGTCCACCTTCCAAAGCAGTCATTTTCTCCAGGGAGACAGATCTCTGCTGCCTTGAGTTCAGTTGTAAGTCTGGGGGGGGGGTTTTTCCTTCAGGCCCCACTTAGAGGTTGCCAAGCCTGGGCCTGCCAGCACTTTAGGGTTGCCAGGTTCCCCCCCGGCCACCGACAGGGGATTCTGGATAAGGTTGCCAGGTCCAGGCTGGGAAACTCCTGGAGATTTGCGGGAGGAGCCTGGGGAGGACAGGGACCTCAGTGGGGTACAATGTCACAGAGTCCACCCTCCAAAGCATCCATTTTCTCCATGGGAAGTTATCTCTGTAGTCTGGAAATGAGCAGGAATTACAGGGGATCCCCAGGTCCCACCTGGAGGCTGGCATCCCTCGGCAGCACCCTCTGGGTGACTTGATACCACCTGATTTGCATGACTCAAGTAGGCCCAGCTGCTTGCTACTGTTCATCAGCAGCCACCCTATGAAAGCTGGGTTGTTGTGCAGATTAAAAGTAGGAGAGAATAATGTAAGCTGTTTTGGTCCCCACTGTGGAGAAAAACAGTAATTTTCCTAGGTAGAGGCTGCGGGGGAGGGGTGTGGAGATGGAAAGTTGCAGACAGAGAGGCAGATAAAGGTAGGTTGGCTGTTGGGTGGGAAGGAAATTGTGTTGCCAACTCCAGGTTGGGAAATTCCTGGACATTTGTGGGGTGGAGCCTGGGGAGGGTGGGATTGGAGGAGGGAAGGAACTACAGATCAGTATAATGCCATAGCTGGAGGAGAAAAAGAAAAAAAGGGGGGGCAGAAGGGAGAAAGAGCGTGAGAGAGGTAGAGGGAGACAGGAGGAAGCAAAGGTGTGAGGAACAGGATAACCATTCCGCAAGTTTCTTGCGGGTCTCCACTTGTTTACTACTAAACTTCAGATCCAAGTGCATATCACAAAGGCAAGAATGGGCCTGTACAAAGATAGGGTCAGGATTTCTGAAAACTTGGGGGACTTCCTTGTTAAGCTGATAAATATCAGTTGGTAAACAGAGAAGACAAGTATGGGCCTGTGAGACTTGCGGGGAGAAATCCCACCCACCCCTTTTCTTGCTGGGCCTGCTGCGGCTCCCAGTCTCTGCCACCACTGTGCCAAGCACAGCTCCCGGCCTCCACCACTGCCGGACCCAGCATGGCTCCCAGGCTCTGCCGCCTCCAGCAAGGACCAATGTATTTTTAAGATGTCAGATTTTCTGCAACCCTAAGGGGTCTTCCAAGTTTGCAGAAACATCTGTTTAGCATCATTGTGGTCCTGATCTGCAGATTTAGATATCCACAAATGAGGGCCACACTTGAGAAATTTCAAACCTGTGTTTCTCCCAGGTCCTAGTCTGACACTCTGACCGCTAGATCTTACTGACCAGAATATGATACTACGTATGGGGACTGTGTCCCTTATTTCAGATAATATGCAGATTTTCCATATTTAGTTAATAAATTTCTATGTTGCCCTTATGCACCAGGAAGGGCTGCCAAGGTAGCTCGTATGAGATTGCTACAAAGTCCAATGAAAACCCACACAGCTAAAGTGAGTATAACGGATCTATTTCTGTAAAGGCCAACTCCTTCTACAGGGATCATTATAAAAGACTAGGAACTGAGAGACCCTGGCTCAAATCCCTGCTCTGCCACAGAAGCTTGCTGTGTGATCTTGGACCAGACACTCTCTCTTATTATTTATTTTATTTTTAATTCATATCCCACTTTTCTCTCTGATTGGGGACCCAGAACATCATTTTCACATCATTTCTGTTTTCTCCACTTAATCCTCACAACAACAACTTTGTGAGGGTAGGTTAGGCTGAGAGATTGCAACAGGGCCGATATTACCCGGTGGGGTTCCATGGTTGAGTGAGAGATTTGAACCGAGTCATCTCAGGTCCTAGTCCAACACTCTAACCACTACACCCAGAGGTCATTTCGGGGGGGAACGCGGGGGAATGCAGTTCCCCCAGGTGAGGTACGGGGGGCGGGGCACATGACGAAGCCCCGCCCCCTGCTTCTGGCTGCCTCATGACTGACCGGCAGGAATTCAGGAGAGCCGTTTCTTCACATCTCACCGCTTGGGTTCCTGCAGCTGTTAAAGGAGCAGGCACCTTGCTAGGAAAAGCTGTTGGTGGTTTCTCCATACTCCACTCATGGGTTACCCTTTGCTGATAAGAACTGGGGCATATCTGTTTAGTGGTTCACAGCTCTTTTTTTAAAGGTTTCATAGAGGGGGTGTGGCCTTATGACACACTTCCGGTGATGTCAGGGGGTGTGGCATATGCTAATGAGTTATGCTAATGAGTTCCCCTAGCTCTTTTTCTACGAAATGACCCCTGACTACACCACACCAGCCCTCAGCTTAACCTTACCCACAGGGGTGTTGCAAGGATAAAATGGAGGAGTGGGGAATGATGTCAGCTGCTTTGGGTCCCCAATAGGAAGAAATGCAGAGTAAATCAATAAATAAAATGAACTCTAGAAACAAGAGAAGCCTGTCAAATATTCTAATGAATGGAACCCAGCAGTTTCTGTGAAGCTCCAAAGGGAATGACCACACAATTTAAGTTATGCACATGACCAGCCTGCAGCCACAAAAAAGAACTGTTTTTTCTGAATAAGCACACAATAAAGAGATTTCCTAAGGGCTTTATGTTCCTTTTCCATTTGCATGCTACAGATGCCAAATGACAACAATGATACTTGCTAAATGCTTACACACCTCATAGACACTGAAGTAGATTAGCATACTTGCACTTACGCAGTGCTTGTTACATAAATTCATGTTAGAATGCCACCTGGTCAACAGCTCTAATAACAGTTCTTAAAAGTTATTATTATTTCACATTCTATTCAGACAATACTTTTCAAAACTTTTTAGTGCAGTAGTAGCTTTATGCAACCCAAAGTTAGTGGGGGCATGCACTGATCACTATTTGACAAATGAAAGAGATGAATGAGTTTCTTTCCACTATAAAGTCTCATGGCCATCTGGAATTAAAATCTATGGGGCAAGATGTTGAAAGATGAGAACAACTTCTTTTTCAAGAGAACCACACCTACTGTAGAAAGTCAGCATGAAACCATGTACTTCAACATAGCTACAGTGCCTAAAGGACCTCTACTTTGGTCAGCACTACTGGCACATTTCCGTTTTTATTTATCAGGGTTTTTGTGGTTAGGAAAGAGAAAAACGATCTGATCAATTTTCATTGCTACTTCAATATTTTTTAGGATAGGCAGGTGGGGAAGAACCCTAAACAATTAGGAGAAATCCTTGTTTAGGCACAGAAAGTACAATTTCTCATAAGCTCAACAGTTTAGCAAAATACTATTTACAGCTTTTAAATTTTATTTATTGCTTTTAAATGTAATTTAAATTTAAAATGTTATATCAGCAACTTATAAAAAGGAAATATTAATATTGGCTAGTATAACTATTCTTAACAGGCACAAGTGAATTGATTGTAAAACTGTCAAGTGGCCTATGCCCTCCTGGCTCCTCTAGGAGATAGCCCAAAAGAGTAGTTTTGTGGTCTTTCTGCAACTCAAGACTTTCCCCTTTTGGCCTATGCCAAGGAGGGCATGGAGAGGACATGCCTTAAGTACAAAGCAATCAATGTAAATGAAAAGGGTGAACAGTCTTGAGAAAATTTTAATTA